ACTTAATACAGTCATGATGAGGATGGCCCTCTGAGGTGGGAAGTAAGGTTGTTACATTAAGAGGACCACTAGTTGCAATAGAGATGCAAGGGTCTTGAGAGAGAGCTAAGTGTACCTGTTGAAGGCGAGAAGGGGTCATTAGGGCAGGGAGCACCTTATGTGAGATAAGCTCATGTAGGTGATGAGGTGAGTGTACTGTAATAGATTGTCCTAATGTAAACTGTGTCAGGAGGGCTGCAGCTGCAAGAGCTTGGAATCAAGGAGCCTATCCTTTTACTGTGTGATCTAACTGTTTTGACAAGTAAGCTACTGCTTGAAAAGACAGTCCCTTTTTGTGTCCTAGTACACCTATAGCATTGTGGCCTTGACAAGTAGTGTATAGGATGAAAGGTTGGGTGGGATCAGGAAAGGTAAGGGCTTTTAGGTGACCCTCTTTTAATTTATGAAAGGAGGCATGTATGGCCCTAGTAAGGTCCAGGGGTTGTGATAAGGGACCCTTAGCGGCCTTGTAGAGGGGTTGAGGTAGGGCTGCAAAGTTAGGAATCCAGAGATGAAAGAAATTAGCTAAACCTAGGAAAGATGTAACCTGTTGTTTAGTTGTGGGCACCTGGAGATCACAAAGAATTGCCTTATGGTCTGAGGTGATGAAGCGAGTGGTGGGGGTGAGAGCGAGACCTAGGTATTTGACTTTTGGGGAGGCTATCTGGGCTTTAGCATGAGAGACCCTGTATCCACGACTAGCAAGGAAATTAATAAGACTGGCTGAGAGGTGTATGGCTAACATATGGTATGGAGAACATAATAGAAGGTTGTCTGTGTATTGAAGAAGAACACTAGGTTTGAGATCAAGTTCTGTGAGGTCAGTAGCAAGAGCTTGACTAAAGAAGTAGGCACTATCTCTGAACCCTTGAGAGAGCACTGTCCAAGTAAGTTGTTGAGACCTGAGAGTGTCTGGGTCAGTCCATGTAAACGCAAAGAGATTCTGGCAATCAGGGTGTAGGGGGATAGTAAAAAAGGCATCTTTCAGATCTATAACTGTAAAGTGAGTGGTGGAGGGAGGGATATGAGAAAGTATGGTATAGGGATTTGGCCCGACTGGGTGAGTTGGGGTAACAGCACTGTTAATTACCCTAAGGTCCTGTACCAGGCAATAGGACCCATCAGGCTTGAGTACCGGGAAAATGGGAGTATTGTGGGGTGACTGGGTAGGTTTAAGAAAACTGTTGTCTAAAAGGCACTTCATTGTGGGTTTAAGTCCCCTTAAATCTTGGGGAGCAATAGGGTATTGGGGAATGCAGGGAAAAATTGAAGAGTCCCTGAGATGGATTAAAACAGGTGTGGCATGTGTAGCCAGAGTGGGATTGGATGTGTCCCAAACTATGGGATCAACCAGAGAAGGAGGAAGGGGAGGGAATGGCTTTGCGACACATTGTGAAGCTGTTTGGAGGATTAGGGCTGTGGAAAGAGAGAGAAAATAAAGGAAAAATTAAGCTTTTGAAGAAGGTCTCTACCTAAAAGGGGTGTGGGACATGTTGGAATTACTAGGAAGCTATGGGTAAAGAAAAGAGTCTGGAATCAACATGGGATAGGCCCAGTTTGCAGAGGTTGAGTAGGCTGGCCTTCAACGCCCACAACAGAAATCAAGGACTTACTACAAAGTCCTGAAAATTGAGGAAGTACACTATAAGTCACCCCCATATCTACAAGCAGAGATATTATCTTACCTGAAACCTCCAGGGAGACTCGGGGCTCTGACAAGGTTACCGGAGTGGGGGCTGTGAGCCCCGAGCCCCATCAGTCTTCCACAGCAAGTCAAAGCAGGTCAGTCAGCGATGAATCTGACATTGACAGAGTCTCCTGTGAGGGCGAGGGATTAGAGGATGGCTTACCCGCTCACTGGAGGCTAGGACAGTCACTCTTCCAATGGCCCTTAAGGTAGCATTTATGGACATGGTCCTAGAGGGATACCAGGGTTGGGGCAATCTTTTGCCCAGTGTCCTTGTTTGCTGCATTTAAAGCACGGTCCAGGCGGGACTCAGGAAGCCACACCTTGTTTCGGATTTCTTGTCCTGCGATCCCCGAGTGCCACTGCTAAGAGATCAGACTGATATTTAGCAAACTTTAATTTTTGAGCTTTCCTTCCCTCTTTTTGAATTTTTTCTCTGTTGTTGAAGACACGGAAAGCTAATTTAAGTAGATCCCCTTTTGGAGTTTGAGGGCCATGTTCAATCTTTTGTCATTTTGCACGAGTATCAGGAGCAGACTGGGAAATAAAATAAGAGTTAACAGTTATCCCTTCATGAGAGTTTGGGTTCACATTAGTAAACTTAATTAAGGTTTCCTGAAGCCAATTTAGGAACACAGCGGGGTTTTCATTAGCCTCCTGGACCTGTTCTAAAAGTTTGTTACAGTTATTGTGTTTGTGAGCAATATTATTATGGCCCACAATCAGATACTCAATCATTTTATGTAATTTTGTCGAACCTTCACCGTTTTGATAGTTCCAGTTAGGATCTTGTTCTGGCTCAGCTGCAGACCCAGGGTCATTATCAGCAGCGGTGTTTGCCTTATGTCGCCGATCAGCTTCTTCTCGAGCTTCTTGCCACAGCTGATTTCATTCTTGTGAGCTGAGAGTGGTATTTAGAATCACATAAACATCCTTCAAATGTAAATCATAACATTTAGTAATAAATTCAAATTCCCTGATACAATTCTGTGGGTCAACAGAGAAGCTATTTAACTTATGGGTAATCTGAGATAAGTTGGAAAGGGAGAAAGGCACATATATATTAACAAGTCCCTCGGGGCCAGCTTGCTCCCAAAGTGGTAGCAGAGATTGAGAAGATTGCAGAGTAGATGGTCATTGGGCAGCCATCCGTCCGGTAGACTCATGTGAGCAATTATCTGTAGAGTGGCTATAAAGCGGCTGCCAGTTACCCTGGGATGAGGAAACACTGGCAGATGGTGTCTCACTGTGTGCCTTGCAGCGATGAAATTGCTGTCCATGACACAGTGAACCGTCATGTGGTCTGCAACAGGGTGGCTGTTGCTGATCACAAGAGGAGCCACAAGGGGGTGCCCCTTGACCGTGAGATCTGTCCCAAGATGGCAGCACCCTGTCATGTGGCGAAGGACCACAACATGACGACTATTCCCAGCACAAGCTGGAACAGTCACGAGGTTTGCCGGAAGGAAACAGCAACCTAGACCTATAGTATGGTGGGCTGGAGGTGAGAATGCTGTAGGGGACAGAAAATTTTCAGGAAAATAAGAAGTCGGAGACTGCAAGGAAGTGCTAACAGAGGGATTGGAGCCACTGGGGAGTTATGGGCTCTGGGAGAGGGAGGGGAAAATGATCGCACAGCGGGAGATAACTGCAACACAGCGGAATTAGAGCTGCTGGGAGAATTAGGGGTTGAGGGAGGCTAAGACAGTGGTGCGGCGGGAGATAATGATGAGGAACAGTTTTGGGGGTAGGCAGACAGCGGCTGGTAAAAAAACTGGGGCTACTTCATGGAGCAGATCATGAGGGCAAGAGGGGAGAGTTTGTGGCACAGCAGAGTTAGCTAAAAGTACCGGGGCAGGGGTACAAGATTTAATGAGAGACGGGCGTGTTCTCAGAACAAGGAAAGCCTGTACATAAGGGATCTCTGTTAACTTGTCGCCAGACTGACAGAAATTGTAGAGGTTTTTGAGAATACAGGGGTCAGACATCCCCTCTCTGGGCCAAGGGCTGCCTGCCGATAAGTGGGTAGGTCGGCCAACCCTCCTGGCAGTAAAAAGTTAATTGTTTAGTTTTTATGGGGCTTTTTAATCTTTAAGAGTATGTAGATTGGAAATTAGGCATTGCATAGGCATCTTTCGGGAATTAGAAAAAACATTTCCCATGACTAATTCAGGCAAGAAACAAGCCATGGCCTGGAGGGTGAGCTGTCACTCGTCCTGTGGTGCCAAATGGCGATTAGGGTCGAAAAACTCGTATATTCCAGTCGTCACTGAGAGATTTACGAGTGGAGTCCACGTGGGGTCAGTAACAGTTCTGCCCGTGAGAGTGTGAAGCTCTGAGGGACGTGAGGGTCTTACAGTGTGGGCGGTCCAGAAAACTCTGCCTTGGGCTATCTGAATCCAAAGAACATGAGAGATTTTCGAGTGTGGACACAAGTTGCCCAGAAAGACCCTGCCCTGGGCTGTCTTAAGGACATGAGAGTGTCACGAACCCAGGCAAAGGGGGAGAAAATCTGCCTGGGGCCGAGCCCAGCACCAAGAATTCTCCGGAGTTTGCTCACCTGAGATTAATTGGGCTGGTGTTGTGTGCAACTGGTTGGCGACAAGTCAAGCAGATACCGGGAGAGGAAAAGCAGATAATTAGTCCAGGATGTAATCCAGTTCATGAATCAACTGGGGACTCAACTGGGTGTGTCCCAGGAGTCAGTTGCCTGCCAATTGAGTCACGGCACCAAATGATAAGATTATATCCAAAAGATGAGAAGTATAAAACAAAAGTGGCCTTTATTCTGAGAACATGGAGAGAGAAAACCAAAACACAAGACCACTGGAGTCCGGCTCTCTCTCTGGCGGACACATGGCATGGGGGGTATGTAAGTAGCCTGGGTTTGGGGTGGAACCTAAAGGAGCATCAGGGATGCATGGGTAGCCCATTGGTCTTTGTTTGGCGTCATAGGTAAATTCCTAAGGGCGGGGAAGATGGAGTCCCAGGTAAATTCCTAGGGGTGGGGGAGATAGGAGCTCCTTAGTTCCTAATCTAAGGCTTTACCAGCTACAGTGTCCTGTTTGGGCCAAAACTCTTTCACCTTTAAATTATTTCTTAAATTATTTGGATAATTTTGTGTTCTGTGTATTTATAAATCATAGAAAATCAAAATTTTATTTTAATTGTGCTTAAGTTTTAAATTGCTCGTTAAGCAAAACATGTATTGTAAACATTCAGTCACTTGAAAGGAAGTTATGCTTATATCAATTTAATTTTCTTTTCTTTGTAGGTCGGTTATATGCTATGCAAACTGGAATGAAGATTGATAGTAAAACTCCAGAATGTCGTAAATTTTTATCAAAGCTAATGGATCAATTAGAAGCTGTAAGTTAAAAATAATTTATATCTGATTATGTTTTAAGTGCCATTTTATTTTGTGTAAGTATATGTGTGTTGTCAATTATTTCTTTCCTCTGATTGTACTCAGCAGTGTGTTTTTGCTACTTAAGGAAAACCATGTTGGTATTTTAAAAAGTTACAACATACAGGAGTTGTACCATAAAGCAGCTTCAGATATCTTTGCGTACATGTTCTTTCTTCTTTCTCAAGGTTATGTGTGGTAATTGGTGCTTTCTTTCATAAGTGGTGAATCTTTTCTTACCTTTCCTCATGCAGTCTTTTGGATAATTTCTTTGGGAATTTTTAAATAGCTCGTATTATAATGAAATGGATTATTTCCTTAATGAAAGAGATGATGAAGGATATGGTATCAGTTGCTTGTACTCTCTTCTTGTGTTAGTGCCAGGGCAAGATGCTCCTGTGGTTCAGGCGTCTTTCTCCCCTTGCAGGAATGTGATAGATGATTCGTTATGACTTTAGTCTTCAACATGCTGTAACTTCACAGGTCATGGTGAAGGAAAAACTAGATCCTTGCAGTTGGTGTTAGTGCATAATGAATGTGGTTCCAGCCATATTCCTCACTTACCAATCAGGGCTCCTCCCTATTATGTTATGCCCATCTCCCCCTGGTTTCTGTTTTAGTTGACCCTGGTACATCCCCCTCCTCCAAGACTTTTAGCATTGATATTTAGCTTACTTTCTGTTTGCTTACCTACTCAGAAATGTTTTTGGAGTGGTACTTGGAATTGCATGGAGCTACATTTCCAGTCCTTTTTTGTTTTTTTATTTTAAGATAGGCTCTTCCTAAATCACTAACTTACCTAAGAAGGACTGAATCTGCAGTGCTGTGCCTTTCAGACTCCTGGGATTATAGGCATTTCCCACCATACACTACCATAACCTGTTTATTTGATCAGATGCATGTTTTGCTTAGGAAAACAAAATTTAGACACATAAAAATATATATACTCATCAAGGGAGAACTCATTATTTTCAGTGTTTTTCCTTATTACTGGAAAGGTACTACTCAGATCAAGGCTTAAAGAACTACCCTAGCTGGTTGCATTAAGCCCCTGGAGGTAGTGGTGTTTCTAGCTTGGTGTGACTCTTGCCTCCTGACTCTTTAACTCCTGTCATCTACATACCACCCATGGGGGACCTGGTGGCACCACCAAGGGAATTTGGCTCCCTCCTCCCCTGAAAACCTATCTGGAATTCATCTGTAATGCTACTTCTCTACGTACAAAATAAATATGAGGACCAGTGCGCAGGTCCTGAGTGGGCTGCAATGGCCTCCCCACCCCAAGCTTTGCTTGGCGGACTGTGGAGTTCTAAGCAAGAGGCTAGGCGGCCTGGGGTGAGTGCCCCGCACTTTCCTCTAAGTCCAGTTGGTTTGAGACCCTTGCTCAGCCCTAGAAAGGGAACTTCGCAGCTTCGGGGTGCACTGAACCAGCGCGGTGGGTCCTGAGCAGGCCTGCAACAGCCACCCTGCTCCTGGCCATGCTTGGTGGACTCTGGAGTTCTAAGCAGGCAAGCGGGCGCCATCAGTTCCAGAGGCTGGGCTTGAGCTGGCCTGCCTCACACCCAATGACCCTCTCTCAGTCCGAGGAACTGGATGGCTAGAGTCCCAAGAGCTGAGGGCATAGAAAAGGATTTCAACAGACCCTGGGGAAGCCTTGAAATAACACTTGAAACACAGAAATATAGGAAGATTACAAAACAAAAGACCAAATTACAATCTCAAATCTCCAGCCCATCCTAAGAAACCTTAGAAGCTATGTACATAGAAGAAAATATATGCCATACACCTGAAATATCAGACATAATAGCAACTGAAATAAAGAAGCAGCTCCAGGAAGCTTTAAAGGAATTCAAACTAGAAATAATCTCCCAGGTAAAAGAAGAAATGATAAAAGAAATGGAGATGCTGAACATATCTAAAGAAGACACAGTTAAAAAATTGGAGGAACTAAACAAAAAGATAGAATCCCTGGACGAGCAATATAAGAAACAAACAACACATAAAGCAGATGGAAACAGATATACAGGAAATCAAAAATTCAACTGAAAGCTATAAAAACTGCCTCAATGAAAGTGAAGATAGAATTTCAGACCTCGAAGACAAGATTGCAGCTAGTGAACAGGAAAGGAAAGATCTTTTAAAAATAACAAGGATTCAGGAAATAACAATTCAACAACTACAAGATGACACGGAAGAAAAACAACGTAAGATTGATAGGGATTAATGAAAAAGAAAGGGACAACTTAAAGGATGTCAAGAGGATATTTAGAGAAGTAATAGCTGAAAATTTCCCAAACATGAGATTGGAAACCAACATCAGGATCAGTGAAGCATATAGAACTCCAAATAGTCATAACCAAAATAAAACTACACCCAGACACGTAATAATAATCATCCCAGAAATCCACATAAGAATAGAATATTCTGAAAAGCTGACCGAGAGAAAAGACAAATCAGGGGCTGGGGATTTAGCTCAGCAGCATAAGCACCTGCCTTGCAAGCGTGTGGTCGTGAGTTTGATCCCCGGTACGAATAAAAAAAAAAAAAAAAAAAGAAAAGAAAAGACAGATCACTTATAAAGGAAAACCTATCAGAATCACAGCAGACTTCTCAGCACAAACAATAAAGTCAAGAAGAGCATGGAGTGAAGTATTCCAGGTCCTAAAGGAAAATGATTTCCAACCTAGACTGATGTAACCTGCGAAACTGTCCTTCAAAATCGATGGAGAAATAAGATACTTCCATGAGAAAGGACAGCTGAAGAACTTCGTGATCGCCGAGCCAACCCTGAAAAGAATTTTGAAAGACAGTTTAGATACACTTAAGAAGAAACCACTAAGTAAAGCAGACAAACAGCACAGAAAGATAAAATGCAACAGTAGAAAGATAACATGTCAACAGTAAACCAACATATAACAGTTATAACCATTAATGTAAATGGTTTCAATGCACCAATTAAGAGAAACAGACTGGCAGAATGAATCAAGAGACAAAATCCAACCGTATGTTAGAAACCCATCTAACCCAAAAGGATACTCATAGACTGAAAGTCAAAGGATGGAAAACAATACTTCATGCAACAGGAACCCCCCACCCCCCAAAAAAGCGGGAGTAGCTATTCTATTTGCAGACAATGCGAACTTTAAACCAGTAATGATCAGAAGAGATAAAAAAGGTCACTACATACTGGTTAGGGGAAAACTTCAAGAGGAAGAGATAACTCTTAAAGATATATCTTAAATATATATACACCAAATTCCAGAGCACCTAGTTATATAAAAAAAAGTATTAACAGAAATGAAAAACCAAATTAGCAGTAAAACACATACCATTGACACCAAGGGACAGATCAACCAGACAGAAAATCAGCAAAGAAATAACAAAACTGAATCACACCTGTGAAAAAATGGACTAGACATATACAGAGTGTTCCATCCAACAACATCAATACACATTCTTCTCAGCAGTACATGGGTCATTCTCTAAAATACACCATATATTAGCTCGCAGAACATATTTAAATAAATGCAAAAGGGTTTAAACTATCCTTTGCATGTTATCGGATCATGGCGCTATGAAATTAGAAATTAATGATAAGAGGTACTGCAAAAATCCCACAAACACATGGAAGCTGAATGACAAACTCTTGAGTAATCAGTAGGTCACAGGGTAAATTGAAGAAATTAAACAATACCTACAAGCAAATGAAAATACAAATACAACTTACTGGAAGCTTTGGGATGTAATGAAAGCCGTCCTCAGAGGAAAATTTATTGCACTGAGTTCCCACATCAGGAAAGCAGAATGAATACAAAAAAATAACCTGATGTTACACCTCAAACATCTAGGAAAAGAAGAGCAAGTCAAGCCCAAAGCCAAAAGAAGAGAGGAAATTATAAAAATCACAGCAGAAATCAATGCAATAGAGACTAAAAAAAGAATCCAAAGAATCAGTGAGTCAAAGTGTTGGTTCTTTGAAAGAATAAATAAAATTGATAAGCCCCCAGCCAACCTTATTAAAAAAAAGGGAAGAAAAAACTCAAATTCATGCAATAAGAAATGAAAAAGGCGAAATTACTACAGACTATAGAAATACAGAAGATCATCAACACCTATTTCGAAAACCTCTACTCTCAAATTTTGATAACAGAGAAGAAATAGACAAATTCCTAGAAGCTTATGAAGTGCCAAAGCCAGGTCAACAAGATATAAAACTGCTGAATAACCCAATTTCTATCAATGAAATTAAAAATGTAATTAAGTCTTTACCTACAAAGAAGTGCCCAGGCCCAGAAGGATTCACTGCAGAATTCTACAAGAAATAAAAAGAAGACTTAATGCCGACACTCCTCAAACTCTTCAATGAAATTGAAAGGGAAGCAATCCTTCCTAAGTCATTGTTGGAAGCAAACATTACTGTAGTACCAAAACCTGAGAAAGACCCAACTAAAAAAAGAACTATAAGCCAGTCTCCCTAATGAACACAGATGCAAAAATCCTCAGTAAAATACTGGCAAACAGGATGCAGCAAATCATCAAGAAGATTATACACCATGACCAAGTGGGATTCACCCCAGGCATGCAGGATGGTTCAACATATGTAAATCAATAAGTGTAACCCACCATATCAGTAAAGCCAAAAGTAATCACATGATCATTTCTATAGATGCAGAAAAAGCCTTTGATAAGGTCCAACATTCATTCATGATAAGAACTTTACAGAAAATTGGAATAGATGGTCTTTACCTCAATATAATAAAGGCCATCTATGACAAACCAATAGCTAATATCATACTAAATGGCAAAAAATTGAAAGCCTTTACTTTAAAATCAGGCACAAGACAAGGATGTCCCTTATCACTTCTCCTATTTAATATATTACTGGAAATACTAACCAGACAAGTTAGACAAGAGAGAGAAATAAAAGGGTTAAAGATAGGAAAAGAACAAGTTGAGGGGCTGG